ACTTAATCTATACTTCGATAGTGCTAGCATTTTCTAAAGTAACTCGGGTTTCCTGATCATTTCCCGAGCATCAACCAAGACTATTTTTATGTCACCCTAATTGATCTTGTTTCTAAGTGTAATTAATATCATTAATATTCTCACTTGTAGTCTTATTTGATGATATAATGAAATGTTGGGGTACCTTGGGTCAAATTCCCTTAAAAACTGACCTTTTTGCCCAAAACAAACGGAAAGTATCGATACTAGCCTAAGATTATTGATACTCATGCAAAAGCTTCGACACTTTATATAAGTATCGATACTTTTAAACATTCTGTTCTGCCCAGTTTCGAAACTTTATAGGAGTTTCAAAACTATGACCCAAGTTTCGATACTCTTGAAAGAGTACCGATACTCTTACCCAGAAACTCACGAATTTGCCCAAAACGAAGAACAAGTATCGATACTATCCCAATAGTATCGATACTTTACTTGCAGAAATCATAAAACACATACTAAAATGCTATAATTCAATCCTAAAGACCTTAGTGAGGTCCCCAAACACGCTTAAAGTTTTATTTGATCAACATGGGTCATAATAGAGGCTTTAAACACATTTATAACTCTAAAACAAGAATTTCACCATGAAAATGCTTCATGCTCAACTCAACCATTTAAACTATTTTGAACTTCTAATGACTCACTAAGAGTATAGAAGAGTTGTAAAGGTGTTACCTTGTTAATTTGATGGCTAGAACTCTCATAAACTCAACCAATGCTCAACTTTTCTTTGCCTTTTGACTTGGAACTCTCTCCCACTTCCTTCACTAAACAAGGTAAGAAAATGTATTACTAATCCACTAGGGGTTGGATACATTCTAAATAACTCCTTAATATCCAAAACATAGCTAGAATCCATAGATTCTCTCTCAAAACCCATTTTTTCCTCTATAGATAAAAACTAGTGAAATTGAGCTTAAAATGAAGCTTGAAGGTTGAGGGTTAATAATCTTATCTTTGCTTGACCCAAACTAAACTTCAAGTCATAAATCCTTCAACTTGAAGATGGAAGAAGAAAAGAGAAAAGATGGAAGAAGAAGATGAGTGTTTAGTGGGAAATAGGGAATTGCTCACGTATATCTTATAAAATATGGGAGTTTTTCAGCTTTTGAAATAAGAATTAGGTAAATTGCACTTTTAATCTCTCTAATTTCTAATTCATAAGACATTCATCTCTTACCAACTAACTCTTAGGCCCAACTCAAGCCCAATAACACTAAATTGAGTCCAACTATTTTATAAGGTCTAATTGGGCTCAACTTTAGGCTTCGGGTTAACCCAAACTACTAACCTGGGATTCGGGGTGTTACACTCTTCCATAATTTCTAGCTACTAATGATATGGTAGCCATCTCAATGATCACCTCACTTCATACGAACCCTAAAAAATGTAATTGTAACATTAATACTTCATGTAAAATCATAACTTTATGTTAAAAAGATTGATTCAAAGCATCTCAACTTACTTTCAAACACCATAATTCACCATGTGAAGAACATAAGGAAAAAAACTTGAACATTCACTAGTTCGTTGCTTTCGGTTACTCAATCATTTGAAGACTATAATATTCTCTAACAAAAGCAATCAAAACAGAAGATCAATAAAAATGTAAACAATTAGAGAAATTCTAATTTAATATATTCTTCAGTTTAAGCAATAGAAAAGCTCATTAAAAGGGAATAAAGTTAAAAAAGAAAAAGAAGAAGCAACATATTACCAAAATGTTGATAAGAAAGAAGATGATTCTCCTTAGAAATTTAGGGTTTTAGTGAGTTGAGAATGAAACTAAAGAATTTGCTTTTTCGTATAATACATGAAACATGATTGTTCCTCTACAATCATACCATTTTTTCTATTTCTTTTCTTATTAACGAAGATTGTGGTGTGTTTCACCGGAAGTGGAGTAAATTTAGATAAAGGCATTGAAGTGACCAAAAGAGCACCTCCATGAGGAGGATGAGGAAGAAGAAGAGTAAAACGATCGGTCAAACATCCTAAGTCAATTGGTTTAACGTGCCACATCAGAATTCGTTACTATATTAATAATTTGTTAATGGTTGTTAACGTCGAGTGACCATTTTGTAACAATGATAACGTTAATGATCATTTTGTAACAAACAATAACATTAGTGATCGATTTGTGACTTTTCAAACATCAGTGGTGAAAACGAACATTTGTCTAAACATTAGTGACCATTGATGTAGTTTACCCTTAATTCTTTTTTTTAACAAAACACATTTTGTTTTTAAACCCTCTCCCAAAGAAAAGGGCAGATGCACTAAGCCCCCTATGGGTCAAGTGCATCCCATTATTTAGGGAAAAAAGAGAAATTTAGTATAACATGTCAAAGAAAAATGGAAAAAAAAATTGCTTCCCTATTATTTTTAAGAAAAAAATTAAAATTTTAGACCCCATTTATAAATTTCTGGATCTGTCACTGCCCAAAGGGAATGTATGTGGCTCCCTAGGGGAGCCTATGCACACCCGTTATTTCAAGAAAAGTGTTAAATTTAGTTTAATTTATTAAAGAAAATAGAAAAAAATATGAAAATTTGCATACCAAAATTTTTAGAATATAATAATAAAAGTTTAAACTCTCATTTTTTAATTTCTGGATCTATCATTGTTCTCTCCCCGATTATTCAAGTTTAGCTTGAGAAAGATTGAGTCGGCTCAATTATCCACCTATGCAAACAAAAGATGAAATGAAAATAATAATATAAAATAATTATTCAAATTATATAATTTTTTAGGTAATGTTTAAAACTTTTTTCGATTCATTCAAATATTTAATATTATAAGCATTAATATTTTAGATATTACAATCTTAATGACAATTAAAAAAATTTCGTTTAATAATGCATGTCACGCTTTCATAATTTTAAAAATTTTATTTTTAAAAAATAAAATATATTATTATATTTTTAAGATAATCCTAATTCTTCTAAAATTATATGTAAAAAACCCCACACAATCCCCACGCAGCCCCCACGCACCGGCAAGCGGTCGGTCACCATCACCGTCGAACCAAAAGCCCCCTGATCACCATCACCCACCCACCTAATGGCTAGCATCTACACAGCAAACTGCAAATTGCAGAATCCAATCAAGAAATCTTAAAACGCAAATTGCAAATGGCAAAGTGCAAATTGATGAGCAGATTGTTGTGGCAGCAGCGACATCATTGACCAGCAGATCCTCCATGCAGCGGAATCAGAGGCAGCAGCGGGAGCAACGACAGCACCGGAGAGACCTGAGATTGAATTTAAGTGTTATATTTAGGGTACGGATTTAGACATCGTGATTTAGGGATTTGGGGCAATGGCAAGGGGAATTCCGGTAATGGAGGTCTGGCAATAGGTCGACAGCATTTCGATCTGGTGAGGGGGTCCGAGGACAACGGCGGCAAAAGCGTCGGTATAATTAAAAAACTAGGGCAAACAAAATAATAGTCACTAACTTTTAGGCGCTTACATTTTGATTGTCTAACTTTTAAAATTTATAATACAATCCTTGAATTTTTAATTCATTTTCAGTAATATTCTTGAAGTTATCTTGCGATACCTTCTACAATTTGGCCCACAATAGTACATTGACCAACTCCAGGTCCGATAGAAGCAAACATGACAGCCAACCCGACAACTATAACGGAAGCGATAGAAATCAGTGGATTCATGACTAGTCAATGATATAATCATCTAATGAATTTTGACTTAATCTAGCCTCTATTGTTGATCAAACAAAGAGAATAAGAGAAAGGAGAATTTGATTTTCAGATTTTTTAGTTTATTTTAAGTGAGAATAATTTTTTATTAAGTTGAAATGGGTTAAAAGGATTATTTTATTAAGCTAAAAATAACAGTAATGTGTCATATAAGATAAAACCAACGGGAGATAACGTTAAGGGCCTTACTAAAAATGAACTAAAAGTTCAATGATTGTATTGTAAGTTTCAAAAGTTGAGTGACTAATAGGGCTGTAAATGAGACGAGATAGATCGTGAGCTACTCAAGATCGACTAGGTCAAAGCTCGATAAATATTCGACTTGAATGGACTCGACTCGAGTTCGAGTTTTTAATGAGCCGAAACAAGCTACTTGGCACTCGGTTCGAAAAGCTCGTGAGCAGCTCGAAAATATAATATATTAAGATTTTATTTTTTTAAAAAATAAATTATTAATAATATAAACATTAATGTGTTGTTTTTTTAAAAAAATATATAGTATAAGGTTTTCATGTATTTAATGTTCAGGTTCGAGTTCGAGTTTGATGCTTTAATCGAGTTAAGTTTAAGATTTTTTTTCTTTTCGAGCTTTTACGAGCTTCAGTTCATGATTTCGAGTTCTAGTTGAGCTTAAAAATTTTAAGCTCGCAAGTTTTCGAGTCGAATCGAGCTCCATTTCAGAGTTTTCGAGTCGAGTCGAGCTCAACAATACTCGAGCTCGACTCGGCTCGTTTAAAGCCCTAGTGACTAAAATGCAAATTCACTACAAGTTTGGATCACCATTTATGTAGTTTACCCAAAAAACTATAACGATTAAAAAGGAAATGTCCATTAAATGTGAAAAATAGAAGTTTGAGAGAAAAGCATAAAATATGATTCTTTGATTGAACTGCAATATTCATGTTGTGGTCTAAGGTTGCCTTTATTTATCTTTCTTGAACAGAGTTCCCTTCATTTTTGTATTTGAAGGGTATTTAAAGCCCTTCCTATCTTTGTCTCTTCAAAAAGGCTTCTACTGATTAGTATGTAAACAAAACTATATTTTTGTGGGGTCTCCTCCTTAATTACATTTGTAATTATATAATATAAACCCTCATTTGTGTTTTTAAACGTAGCTTAAATCTTGGATGCTTGAACAAATTCCCCTCCTCTGTTTTTCATGTTAGAGTGAGAAACTTGAGCAATGGTGAAGAAATGGGTTGTTTTCACTTTTGTTTTCTTGCTTCCCTTTAATGGGTTTTCTTCAGTTTCTGCCACCCCACCTGCAAGTAAGTATGATGAAAAGGTTTCATCGTTTCTTTCAGTCTGTTTTTGTTTTAAATTTTGCTTTGCATTTTATCTCATGCATTTTTTTGGCAGAAATTGTAACTTCAGTCGTCTCAAATGTGGTGTCTGTTCTTGTTAAATGGCTATTGTCACTAAAATCAGAACCCAAAGCTGGTAACTTCACTTCAAATTCCCAATCATTTATCCCAAAGCTGGGATTTTTAGTCTCTCTTGTATGTAATGTAAATATCTGTTTTTTTCTGTTGGCTAGTGGGATTAATGGGATTTGTTTATTCAGCTGTTTCAAGCCGTTCCATGATGAAATTTGAAGGTGGATACACTGTGGAAACAGTTTTTGAAGGAAGCAAGCTTGGGATTGAACCATTATCTGTTGAAGTTTCCCCCAATGGAGACCTCTTGGTGTTGGATGCTGAAAATATTAACCTTTACAAGATTTCCATGCCACTGTCTAGGTGTAAGTTAATTCTTGAATATACTTCTCTTCTGGGGTTTATGATTTCTGTGCATTGCCAAACCTCACATAGTCGCATTCAAATTTCTTTTATTAAAATTGAACAATTGGCTCTTTTGATTAGTTTTGTGCTCTATGAGGCACATAGTTTGGGCTCTTCTCTTGTAAGTTGTCCTTAGATCTTCTTAATAAAGGTTGTGAATGAGTTTGATTTACTTTTGTTTAGGAGAAGACTCTACTTTAGAATGGATAGTTACATCTTATGGACACTCACTATTGAGTACAAGTAACATATAGGTTAGATCTATTTTTAGATTTAGACTGTTCTTTTTGTTTTTTGTTTTTTTTTTGTTCAAAGCTCACATTGTCTATTGAACACTTAAAACTTCTAATTTACACATGTTTCCAGTCTTTTATCTTTCTAGGCCATCTGTGGAATCACTTTCACTTTTTAAACAACATTTGACTAATATTTGGACACCTTTGAGCTTCTTTATGAAGCACAAGTACTTTGTTGATTTGAACAGTGAGTAGTTCGACTAATATTTTAAATTTACTTTGTGTTCTTAGACTATCAAATGCAGGGATATGCTCTCTGCATTTGATTTTCTTTGATTTCTTCAACCTCATCTTGTTCATTTCTTGGTGTTCGATTAATATTCATATTATTATGTACATATATATTCCGTTTGCTGATATTGTATGCAACACTACAGATAGCAGACCTAAGCTGCTTGCTGGATCATCCGAAGGGTATTCGGGGCATGTAGATGGGAAACCACGAGAAGCTAGAATGAATCATCCGAAGGGGCTAACAGTGGATGATAGTGGAAATATATACATTTCAGACACGATGAACATGGCTATCAGAAAGATCAGTGAATCAGGGGTTACAACTATAGCTGGAGGAGGAAAATGGAGCCGAGGAGGAGGCCATGTTGATGGTCCAAGTGAAGATGCGAAATTTTCAGATGATTTCGACTTGGTTTACATTAGAAGTAGCCGCTCTCTTTTTGTAATAGATAGAGGAAACCAGGCAATTCGTGAAATCCAACTAAATGACAATGATTGTTCGTATCAGTATGATGGCAGTTTTCATTTAGGTACGTCTCGTTCAAGCTATTCTCGTTCTCATTGACCTTTGAGATCATCAAAATCTTTTAAGATATGGGATGATCGTTGTAGGTATAGCAGTTCTTGTTGCCACTTCCTTCTTCGGTTACATGCTTGCCTTACTACAGCTTAGGGTACAAGCAATGTTCTCATCCCATGATGCAAGTGACCTGATGTTATATGTAAATGGATCGAATGTCGTAGATTTTTAAATTCTCTCCTTTCTAGGATTATAGTGTTTTTTCTCTTCTTTCAAGTTTTTATATGAATGTTAGAACTTGTTCTGATAGGTTTCCAACATTCCGGATTCTGAGTGATATGACGAACAAGTTCCAATCTTTGTAGGACTCGAGAACTCCAATAAAGAGAGGAGCGACGATGGCACCCGTGGCACCGTATCAGAGGCCTCCGTTAATTCCTCCAGAAGATGAACCTGAAAAGGTAGAAGAGGGCTTCTTCGGTTCAATAGGTAGGCTCGTCCTCAACGCTGGTTCCTCCGTTGCTGAAATCTTTGGGGGATTATTTTCTGGATTCAGAAGGAAGCCTCAGTACTATCAGTTTCAACATCCGTACCAGCAATCATCCATGCACTCGAGAGGATGGCCTACGCAGGAGAGCTTTGTCATCCCCGATGAAGACGAACCACCATCCTTAGATACTCGAACGCCGACACCGAAGAGAAGTTACCCATTTCCAGCCAAAGAACTGGGAAGGAAACACCATATCAAGCAAAGCAGGCCTCAGTATAACGGATGGGATGCTGATTATCAGCAGCAGCAGCAAATGCAGATGCATCACCCTCAGCAGCAGCAGCAGCCGCAGCAGCCGCAACAGCAGCGCCTGCAGAAGCATTATTCATCAAACCCGCAAACATACTATGAGAAGAACTGCGAGACAAACGAGATTGTTTTCGGGGCAGTTCAAGAACAAGATGGAAGGCGCGAAGCCGTGGTGATAAAGGCCGTAGACTATGGGGATCCAAGTTATAGTCACCACAATCTTCGACCTCGTTTGAATTATATGGGTTACTCCCATGGCTATTGACCATTTGGTCTATTAGCTTTTAATATAATCAAATGAAAGTAAAACAAAGATACTTAAAGTCCATATGCTATGAACATGGGGGAGATGCAAGCTTATGGATGATGAAGGTTTTTACCGTCTTTTTTTAATGTAATTTTTACTTAGGATATGTTAGTTTCCATGCTTGTTTCACATAAAAGGATGTAAAATATGTTCTTTGTTTGATTTGAAAAATGATTTTTCTTTAATTTTTTTGTCCATTAATACGGGAGGGCAGGCGCGGATATCTCTTTCCCCTTTCTTATACTCACCTAATATTTTTGTACTCAACACCCATGTCGGATACATTTTTTAAATTCACCCCCGTTTATGCAGGTACATTCTCAAGTCCACACTTACCTACGTAGAACCCTGTGACCACTGACAAAATGACATGTGACACTTTAAAAAAATATTTTTTTATTCATTTCCCCTTATTTTGACAAAAACATATAACAGAATAAAAAAAATAAATATTTTTATAAAATGCCATGTGTCATTTTGTCAGTGTTCAACAGGCTTCCATGTCATTTTTCGTTACGGAAGTGGGTGAACCCGTTAATGACAGAAAACACTATATATGAAATCAAGATTTTAAAACATTATGTATGAAAGCTAGAATTTGATATACTTCATGTATGAATGGATAATTAACCCAATTCATAATGGTCTAAAATTTTTAGAGTGGTGTCATCCCTATATATATATATATATATGAGTTAGTAGGTTTTTTTGGGCCCAACAGGGTAAATTGTTTTATTAATTAGCCTAATAAAGCATTTAGAAGTTTATTTTGGGATCTACGACATTTGTTATAGTGTTCAAAAAATTCGTCATGTTGAGGAGACGAGTTTACCCAAATAATATATTTTATTCAAACTCATCACATCAAAGTGATGAGTTTTAATAATATATTTTTTATTAAATTTTATCATATAGTGGTAAAAATTTTGAATACTTTTTTTTGAAACTCGTCATCTCGACGTGATTAGTTCCAAGTCACTACAACAAGTACCGTAAATCCCTAAATAAACTTCTATATAGGACTAATTAATTAAATTGTTTGTCCTATTAAGAAAAAAAATCTGGGTTAGGATCATTGGATCCACATATATATTTTTCGTAGCACAATCTTCAAGGTGGCCCTATTCATGAATGGACCATGTGTTCGTCCAAAATTCTTTTTCAAACTCAAGCCGAAATTTAATGCATTTCTATTACAACAACCTTAAATCAATGTAAATATAGTAGAAATATTACATAAAATAGTATAAAATAATATAAGTCGCTACAATTTGATAATATTTAATTATATAAAAAGTTATTAAATTATATTGAACGTTAATTTTATAATATTTCAGATAATTTTTCTTAAATTTATTCCATCTTAAGTTGCTTACAATAGAGTTATTCAGAAACTTTATTGAATTTAATTTTACGGATTTTATTATTTATATGTTAATAAAATAAATTATTATTTTAAATAAAGTTCTAATGATATTACGTGTCTTGTTTAAAAGTTCTAATTTGAACCCATGTCAACACTTAAAGTTAATGCTTTAATTATGGGAGAGTGACCGAAATGAGTAACTTGTTTGCAAAATTGTTTTGTGACCAAATCAAAAGATTTCAAAGTTTAGTGACCATCTACACAGTTTACTATTTAGAAAGCTGTTACCAAATGAAATTTTTATGTTTATACCACTAGAAACTAGACTTAAATAAGAGTCTAACCATTTAAGGAGCTTCTTCTTAGGGCTGTGAATGAGACGAGACAGATCGTGAGCTACTCGAGATCGACTCGATCAAGGCTCGATAAATATTCGAATTGAATCGACTTGACTCGAGTTCTTAACGAGCCGAAACGAGCTACTAGATATTCGACTCGAAAAACTCGTGAGCAGCTTGAAAATATAATATATTAAGATTTTATTTTTTTTAAATAAATTATTAATAATATTAATATTTATGTATTGATTTTTTTTAAACTATAGTAAAATTTCATGTATTTAAGGTTTATGTTAAATTTGAGTTTGAGGCTTCAATCGAGTTAAGTTTAAGAATTTTTTTTTTCATTTTGAGCCTTTTCGAGCTGCTCACGAGCTTCAGTTCATGATTTCGAGTTCGAGTCGAGGTTGAAAATTTTAAGCTCGCGAGTTTTCGAGTCGAGTCGAGCTCCATTTCAGAGTTTTCAAGTCGAGTCGATCTCAGCAATACTCGAGCTCAACAATACTCGAGCTCAACTCGGCTCGTTTACACCCCTACTTCTTCTAGTTCAATTTTTTACAATTTATAATGAATTTTCAAAGTTGACTTATAGAACTGTTTTGAGCAGAATCTGTTGCCCTGTTTTCTGACCTATCCTCGATTAAAACTCATATCTTTTTTTATACACCTCAAAATCAAAAATCGTTTGCTTTAAACAAAACTAGACTGATACACAAATCCAACTGTATAAAAATCATCCTCTAATATTTTCTGTAGAATTTATGGTGATTTTCTAAACTTACTGTCCATAACTTACATTTCTAGGCATACTTCACCAATTTACATATTCAACTTGTTTACTAATTCTATTAGCTCACCAAATGCACATATATGCATAAACAACAAATCACATAGCAATTAGGAGTCACTACTTACCATAGTAACTCTGTCACTGGCTCATCGCAAGCCAATGTTTATTCGATAACATAAGTACAAATTAAATATGCACTCACTTGGTGTCCTTAGTTTGCAACCTTCCTTAGAAATTCTCATTCACCATTAAGCTTCTCCTTAGCTTTAATATTGTTTAATCTTGATTTCAAGCACACAACCTAAATGAACATCATTTACAAAACATATGAAATTCAAATCACATGTTAGAATCTTACTAACATAGGCATACATTAGAAAATAAATTCCTAAAAATCTTCTAATGTTCATTCAATACAAATTTCATGTCACGACGTAATTGTTGACCTTAACACTTCAAGTTGACCATTCAAGTTCATTTTTATCCAAATTTATCCAAACTTCACATAACATTTTCACTTAAGTTCTCAAATTTTCCATATTTGTGATTTAATCCTCAACTTTTACCAACTTTTCAAAATGACCCAATTTCACATTCTAACATCAATTTCAACACTCTAACAATAATTTTCAGCATAGTCCATCAACTATTGAATAATTACACATTGATCCCATAACTTTCCAAAATTGTCAAATAGGTCCCCCAACTTCCATAAATTTACAAAATAGACTCAAAATTTTTCTAAGGCTTAAAGAATCCTTCCTACATCATTTCCAACCCACAAAATTTTTTTCCATAATTTTTCTCACTTCCAAAAGCTTAGGTCGAATGTTAGGGGAGTAGGTATCTTGATTTTCACTTTATTTCAATTTGATTAAATCATGAAATCAACTTCTATTCAACATTTCAAAACCTCTACAATTAAACCCCTAACTCAGTTTCATCCAATCATAAACTTCCCCTACTTTAGGGTTTAGGCCAAAAATCATAATAACATTTCTAGGTGGTTTTGATCATCAATCAAGCTTGGAAATGATTCTACAACATAAAAAAACCTCAAAAATCCATCATTAATTCATGAAACCCTAACATGAACATAAACCCTAAAAGTTAGGAACTTAACATTCAAGCAAGATTAGCATGCACTAATTAATGGTACCAAATGATAGAGCTATTCAAATAGAACAGTTTTCTATTTCACGATTTAACCCAAAAACCAAAGAAAATTGCTAAAAAATTAAAAATAAAATTTCTCTTACCTGGGGTTATGAGGGAGCCCGAAATAGAGGTTGAAGAATTTCCATGAAATTTCTAGTTAATTTCATGTGCATTTATCATTTATTAAGCTTAAATGAATTTAAAATTCATTTAATTGGGAAATGACAATTTTATCATTAATGAAACTTGATAATTACCTTCATATCAATCCACATAACCGTTATCATCTTCCCAAAGTCAAAGATGAACAAATTGTCATACCCTTTACCATTTTGGTCCCTAAATTTTTTCAAAACTTTATACTTTGGTTACTAAACTTTCAAAATTTACACTATGGTCACTAACCAAAATTCTGGAGTGTTACATGGACCGATAAAGTTGGGGACTTAAATTAGATAGATCGATGGCGTTAGTGACCATTTTCCCTTAATTTTTTTTGGTAACCAAAGCCGGCTTACTCCAATAAAGGGACTATCGGTATAGTTTACCCTAAAACTACATGCCATCTTTGTTTCCAAAGCTTCTGGTGAAATACTCAAAAAGTATGCTGGGCTTACTTATATGGAGCTGTGGCTAATCCCTAGCTTTGAAAACTCAGCATGGTCAATCATGGCCATCTACTTTGTTTCGCTACATGCCATGTCAGCAGTGCTGGAAACTTGTTTCTTTGTACGCAGACATCGCATTAGCATTAGGCGAGAACGCCCTCAATCGTCTCGAGTTCCTGAATTCCATGGAATGACCCGGCGTTTGGTAAAAGCAATGCCTAGTTCATATTCACGGCAGTCTTGGAAGAGAATTGTACATCAAGAATCTGTGCGATATATCTTGAAGATTATATTGTGGGCGTTTTTTTTTAGAAATTTAAGATTTTATTTGGAATTTTCTAGAATTTGTGGTGTTTTTTCAGGAATTTTAAAATTTTCAAAAGATTTTTTTAGAAAATAACATTTGAAACGTGTGATTCACGTTATGTATATTATGTTCGTAGGATTATATTAAAAATTTGAGTGGAAACAATGGTTAAGTTTTAGCTTTTTATTCAAAAAGTTTTGAGTTCAAATCTCCTCATATGTACTATTTTATTAAATTTTTTCAAATAAAACTGTCATTTAAAAAAAAATTTAACACTAAATACAATCATGTCAAAACGACGTTGTTTTAATGAGATAATCACATCAATAATATCACGAACTACAGCTGTCATGTCATCATCTCGTTAAATCATTAACGATAAAATGACATAATTGCATTTAAAATTAAATTTTAGTGATAAAATTAATAAAATTATAACTCTACCGGTATAAATGAGATTGAGTTTAAAGATGGGTAATATTGGAATTAGTTTACTCAAA